AATGTTCAATTTTAACGTGTAGGGTTAGAGTTAGGTTACCGAGTTAAGGGTTTACTAGTAATGCTAATTAGACTAAACTTTTGGGGAAGCCCAATTGTCAAAATTGCCCAATTAATTTTTGGAAAGAATGATGGAAAGTCCAATTAATTTTTTTTTAACGGGTAATCGATTCTGAATGGTGCACCATAGCTAAATACCATACCCGCCCCTAAATGAAGTTGTTCATTAAAATCAAAACCATAACCGCCCCAATGCACCATCGGTTTAGTTTTTTTCGCCCCATTCGGTTCGGTTAACCGCGGTTTTCGATTTTAACAGTTCGAATTGCCATCCCTAGTTCTCCTATTTCTTTATGTAGAGTGAAAAACTTTGAAATGGGAGTTGTTCTTGAAGTTCACATTGCAGCTTTTTACAAATTTTAGTTATACATCATTGTTTCAGGCTTGTGCAACGCGTGTTTGTTGTGTACGCCAAAGTAGAATATGCACACAAGTACTTTGTGCTAGGACTAATTGTAAACAGAAAATATTATACTCTGTCAATTGAAGATTTGTATTTGATACCAAGAGTTTTATGCCTTTATTTAAATGTTTCTGTTAATGGAATAAATACTCTTCCTCGATTCCAACACGTGGGCCTGGTGCGTTAGAAAACAAAATTCAGGTTTAGAAATTGTAATAAAACAGGCTTTTGTCTATTTTTATCTATTTATTTTTTTTGGTGATCAAACTGCTTTCCAGTTTAGAGTTGCTCATATAAACATAGTACATTTTTGGTTGAGCAACTTTCATATCTGGCAAAAGAATTACAGATTAACCCTGGTTTCCCTGTGTTCTTTTCTGTAGGATATGATCTGGGAAAACAAATTGCAGTGGGTAATGGAGTATTTGAAGACATATCGTGCGGGTAAATACTCTGGATCTCAACCTCTAATTGTAAACGTCCCATGAAGTTGTATTGCATCTCTGTTTCTACTATATCTTTTATGGCATTACATGACGATGCCAAAATTCAGTTTATGCTGTGATAGGTGCACAAGTATTTTTCTTGAAGTGAAATTGCGAAAGTATCACTATTGTAATCTATAGTAGTGGACTGAGTGGGGCATGGATTGGCCATTAAACATTCAACCATTATTCAATTTCCAGAGAAAATGAGAAGAGGAATGTTTATATATGGGAATGGGGCTTCTTTACTATCTACATCCATTAATTATATTATTTATTTGTCGTTAATGTGTTCTCTTGTTGCTTGCAGAATGGTGCTGAAGAGCATTGGTTATAAATCAGTAGCTATTGACGGTTTACCATTCGATCATGACAAAGGTACTTTGAAAAATTGCTACACTGACATTGAGTTTTATATTTCAATCTTACCCAATATATGTGGTAGTACATGATGCACTGCACTCCTTCTAGACCGACAATCAAATACTCCATGGCATGGATCCAACAAGCCACATCCCATGCCTATTTTTTATATCCTCTGTGTCTTTCTAGCGCTTGAGGGATGCTTGGTGGTATTCACTGGGCAGATATCTGACATGGCATGTGCCTTGTCCTATATGAAAAAGTATAAAATAAGATTAAATATATAGACTAAAATTTTTACAGAATTTAAATCAACACGTTCCTGACCTGTGTGTGTCTTACTAACAAGAAAAATCACGTGTTGCCGTGTCCGTGGCAGTGTAACTTAGGTGGTGGTAGTTTGGAATCCCAATACAAACAGCCAGGCCATATAAGTATGGTCCTCTTGATTTTGCCACGTGGAGTTCATGACCACTAACAAATTAACACTTGGTTTGCCACTGTTAGAAGCCTCTAGGTTTTTTTTTTTTGCTTATTTTATGACGTTTATACAGGAGGTAGTACCTCTTCATTTACTACTATAAGATTACATTTTCTGGCCTCGAGGTTAGGTTTAAGCCCCCTTCTTTGTACACATTTCTATTTCATATACCGTGGTAGGGGAAGCCTAACCCTTTATATCCTGCTGTGTGGAGCCTAAAAACACACTGGTGCTACGATGGTCTTTCAAAAAAAAAAAAAAATTGGTACGTAACTTAGCAGACTTGAAATTAGATAAATCTACCTTAATTCTTGGACAAAATTTTATCCTGTACTCCAGATCTGGCCATCATTTTTCCGCATGGAACAATAATTCTCAAATTCTTATTTTTCAACTGCAAAGAGATGTGATTCCTTCCCACGTTCAAATTGCCTAGCCTCGTGCTTTTATCTTGTTTTGTTTTCCAGGAATTGTTCCTAATGTTGGTGGTCGTGTTTTGGCCGATTCATTCAAAGATGTTCCACAATATGAGACAGGATTATATGTGTGCGGATGGTTGAAGAGAGGACCAACTGGGATCATTGGCACCAACCTTTATTGTGCTGAAGAAACTGTGAGTGTATTTCTTGTTCCATGGACAGAATTGAATGTGCTTTTTTTCATGGTTATCATCAGAGATTTGGGTGAACGATTTTATCATTTAATGATGAACAATGATTGTAATATATTTTTGCAAACTATTTTGCTGATCGCCTAAATCTGTGGAAGGTTGCGAGCATTTCTGAGGACATTGAGAGAGGAGTACTAACATCTAACTCAACAAAGCCCGGGAGAGAAGGACTACTTCAGTTGTTAGATAGTAGGAATATCAGAGTTGTCCAATTTGATGACTGGAAAAGAATTGATACGGAAGAGAAAAGGGGTGGGAATTTGAAAAACAAACCCAGGGAAAAACTTGCCACATGGGAGGAGTTGCTACAAGTTGCCAGAAAATGAAAGCATCTTTCTCTGTGGATGGCGTAGATGGTTAACCCTTCAAGCAGACTAATGCTTCCATTTCCATCAGAGTGTTGTCTTTTCATTAACTGGTCCTGCTTTAGATTGTTGGGCCATGAACACGTGAATAATTTTATACGATATCGTTTCCAAGAAATAAATACAAAGTGGCAGAGGATTGTACTGATGGTTTCATTTCCATTATTCCAAATTTTTTTAGCCCGGCACGAAATTCTGAAAATTCGAGCAAAAGAAGCAAGAAACCAGAGACGTAGTTTTGCAGAAAATACAAGCTTTCCTTTTCACGGGAACATTTCATATTCGGAATTTTCTTTAGATCACCTGGTTGATCAATATAAATACCTGGATCATGTGCATATAGTTGCTAGGGATTACCAATCTTAGACATCATTACTTTGTGTTATTTATTATTAATTGCTAGTGGAGTCTTTTCGAAATTGTACTAGTATTAGTGTCTAGATCTCTTGCCCCCGTAGGCAAGATAAAAACTTGTCATATCAGTAGTGAGAAGTTTTTATTCTGACATCAATTTCATTTATTTCAGTTTTGATTAGTTGACTGAAATACGTATGATTGGACTCGATAATTTTACACGATATTTCGTATGATTTGCAAGATCCACTGACAGCTTCATTGCCACATGTTAGTGTATATTTTGTACGATTGTAATTCATTGCAGATTATCATTTACCATATATAGAACTGAACTTAGATAGGGTTACAATCTTGTACAAATACATTTTGAGTTTTATGGAATCAATATGACACCAAGTTATCAATTCTCAATTTGGTACCAGAGCCAGATTCCCCAAATCCCTACTATTTGAATTTTCTTCGAGCCCTAGTCCTAATTTCTAAATTCCCCAAACCCGAAACCTAGTCCTATCGTGTTGGCATGCCCCCATTAAGACCCACGCTCCGACGAGAGAGTGACACCGCCTCTACTGTTTGCTTGTGATATCTTTTCTGGTGTTTGTGATCTTCTTGGCTTGTTATTGGAGCTATATTTATAAGGGTCTTGCTACAAAATCATAATGGATGACATAAAGGATGACCAAACACACACAGGTGGGAGGTTGACATTTTTTTATTCAGGTCGGGATCCATGTGCAAATGTGAGGGTAGTGTCAACTCCTATCTCAAACTTTTGGGCACTTCATCTAAATCCATATTTATAATTGAATGATAATCAGAGAAGAAAGCTTCCCAAATGAACACTGCAAGTTATTTTGAACACCAACTCGCAAATGAAATTTCAATTTAAAGTATTAATTTTAATTTCACTGATGTAACAAACGTTAGAACTTTCTATCATCAATTTCAAATGGTTCTAACTGCAACGTGCAGATTGATACAGTGTTCAAACAGTTTTAAATGAGTGCAGAATTTAATTAACATATTGAAATGTGAACATCAGATATAACGTGGTAAACCATGAAGGGAAACATGAATAGGTCTTATGTCACAGGTCAAACAATCCATTAATTAATAGATCAAAAATACAATAGTATTCGTTTTTGTAATTTCGCAAAATTAACAAAAGATCAATCAAAAGAATTGTGATCAACTCCCTTTGTATCTTCTTCTTTTGACTTGATGATAAAGTGAAATCAAACGTATTGGTCTTGATTTTATCACCACTTCCCTATTGTATTCGGCCACAACCATCACTTGAATTAAGAATCTCCATTATTTGCATGAAGACGATGGTACCGTTGCATGCTAGGTCACGGATAAAAATATTTTTTCAAAGCTTAATTCCTTTCTTGATTAATTACTTAACTTATAGGTAAAACAATTATCAAAAATAGGAATTAATTCTACTTAAATAGTCAATAAACACTGAGATAATTAGTATGTAAGACAATACAACAAAAGATTTTTTAGATTTGTCGATAGACTAAAATAAGGAAAGGCAATATTAGTTTTTAATCTAACCTTAAATCGACCTATTTAACAAATATGAAAATATCGAAGATGGTATAGAATTTATTTTACATGAGCGGTAACGTTATAATAAGAAGTCGTATCTTATTATGTATAGAAAAATATAAAAATCGTAGCCTAAAGATTTTGTTTGAACCACTTACCATTCGATCAGTCAGTACCGATTACTAGAAAGACCTGTAACCTTTTTTTCTCACAATTTAAACAATTAAAAATCACCAGTATATTAAGAAAGTCAATAATAAAGTTAATAAAAATATTTCATATGTTTCTCCAGCAGTTCTCGTGGTAAAATCAGAACAACCAAATCGGTTGAAAAAGAATAAACCTCAGCGAACAAGCTGCAAGCACCCCTACCCTAAGAGTGGGAGATAAGTTTCAACATGATGGTACCGTATGCACTTATGGTAATACCTTGCAATTAAATTCCGAAACATAGGACCTTGAACCACTCAAATCGCGATATCTCAATATCGAAGTGGATCTGCAAACCACTTTGGTACTCTCTTACCACCTCAAATGTTGAGGTGTCATGATTTGAGTGGTTCGAATTCCGAAGTATCTTGATTTAAGTGGACAATCCTAATACATGTGCATATATGACCGTTCAATTGAAGTTTTTCTTCAAAAGTTGAGATCTCGAATATTCTTTTAGCGGGAAGGACTCATGAAGAAGGAAGATTATGAAAATCTCTTCGGACCGTCTGCTTTCAAAGCATGTTCATAAAAGCTTCTTGCTCTACAAAATTTCTCATCTCTTTTCTTTTCACTTTTATCTAAAGACTGTAAGCTTTTGAACGATATTTTCTTTTCTATAAATGTCAGATGTAACTCTAAAAAAAAGTAAAAAATTGATACTATTAATTTGTAGCTAGAATGTTGTTGTCAAAAAGAAATAACTCTTGACCTTCCCACTTTGTTGGGGGTGGGGAGAAGTAACATCAATGGAGCAAAAAGGTTATCTAAATCATCCAAAATCCCTTAAATTTCTTGGTGATTATAATTGAATTTGTTGAGTTCGGTTGCTTTCATAAGTGGAGATTTGCTCATAGTTATTAGACTTGACCCGAACAAGGTATTGAGTCTTGGGTTACTAGTCGAACAGATGGGTTATTGTATAAAAGTCTACAAAAAAAATATATAGTATAATTCTTTTTTTTTTTTGGGCAAAATTAAAGTTTTAAAGTTATTTTTCATTAATTATTTAGATCTATAAAATAAAGTACTCCCTCCGTTCAAATTATATAGGCTGAGTTTCCTTTTGTCTCAAATATATAGATATGTTTCCTATTGTATAATATTTTACCGCGTTCCTTTATCATTATACTCTTATTAAATTTTCCTCACTAAATATGTAAACTTCGTGAAATCATTTAAATACATACATTTCCCACTTCTTGGAAACATGAAATAACTCTCATTTCTTCTTCTTTTTCA